TGTGTGTGTGTGTATATGTATAGGCAAGAAATTTAATAGTTAAAGAGTTGCGTTGTTGTACGAAGCGTATGTAAAATGGTATGCTTCATTGATATTATAGTCATGTTCATTTGATTACACGTTCAGATATGAGAATATACTTATATTCAGTAGCCCGTGGCTATCATCAATGTGCGTGGTCTCACTCGCGTGCTATATATATGTTCGTGCATTTTTGGTAATTATGTCTCGATGTCAGTGTATTGAGCTATCTAACACGTGGCTTTCGCTTGAATACTTCTGATATGTATGCTTACATGCATATACACATCCGCCATTTCAGCTTTTTGCATATTTGGTTATGGTATTTCCTAATGGAACAATGCTGAACTTGCCAGAGAAACACACAGTTCAAAATCACACGGACCTGTTAAACACGTCAGTTCGTTCTTTAGCTGAATCCTGAATATAAATAATACGTGTGTATGTGGCTTCTGCAGTTCCAAGCACCTGTAGGCTTTACCTGTTTCAACACTACGCAGACTATCTGCATAAGATGCCTGGGCATTGCCTCTGATGAAATCACTCAAATCTTCTGTACATGTACTGCTACCACCAAATGGCGATGATTCAGACGCCTCGACTATTTCTCCCGTTAAACCACTCGAGTCTGAGCCTCCGCCGACCATTATTGGCCTGTTCGCACCCTCATCACGCCCAGCAGATAGTTCGGTATCACTGGCCGCATTTGAAGTAGACGGAAATGACAGAGGTACAGTTCAGCTTTGCTTTGTTGCAGGCGGTACTAGTGGCACTAACAAAGTACCCAACCAATCGACTGTGTTGATCTCTTTTTCTATTTGAGTACTGTGGTATCTATCGGATTACAAGTCTGATTTAAATGGTCATCAGGAACCAAATGTTGCGCATGCCATAATCGAAGTGAGAAATCTTGAGCGTATTTACTATGATGTTATGGGTATATAACTATGAATTGTTATTATAATATTATGAGTTTGTCATTATATAACTATGAAGTATAATTATAATGTTAGAGATTATGGGTATATAACTATGATGTATAATTATTATATTACGAGTTCGTCATTATATAACCATAAATTATACTTATAATATTATGAGTTTGTCATTATATAACCATGAATTATATAATTATAATATTATGAGTTTGTCATTATATAACCATGAATTATATAATTATAATATTGTGAGTTTGTCATTATATAATCATGAATTATAAAATTATACTATTATGAGTTGGTCTTGTCTCCTAGCTTGGCGTCCAGTCGATAGCAGAATCCACTAGGGGCAAATGTGCTGTCATGCAAAGTGTTTGCAATGCTGCAAGTGTGTGCTAAATGAATAGTCAAATGAATAGATGGTAATGTACGGCATGGTATACGTCTTGCGGAGTTGTGTTTCACTACGGGCGTCTGGTTGGTTTGAATGGTGTTGTCGCCTGTTTATGGCAGATGGTGTTTTGTGGTACGTGTCTACCATTGCTAAGGTACGGATGTGTATTTAAACCAGAGCATACAATTCAGTGCAGCGGATATCCGATGAGGCCAAGGCTCCTGATCCACAAATTCTCAATGTTCAACTTGAGTATTGCTATAAATACGTTTCCATACACCATTGACGCTTTTTTATCCCGGTTGGTTGCTTATATTGCTTTTGTATCGGCGCATTGTTATGCTTCTATCTGCTTTTGTATGGGCGCATTGTTATGCTTCTATTACTTTTGTATCGGCGCATTGTTATGCTTCTATTACTTTTGTATCGGCGTATTGTTATGCTTCTATTACTTTTGTATCTCGGTTGGCTGTCCCTTTGGGTATTTACACGATACATATTGCAAGCTAAGCCTGGCCGCTTTTGAATTCCTTGTTGACCTAGGCTCGAGGGAAATGATCGGAACGGACGACACACACACACACATCAAAGCAAGAGCAGCAGATGTGACAGTGGAACAAGACCGCGCCTCCACATTGGGACGGTCTGAAATTGGACTTAATCTTCTGAGTGAAAGCAGTAGGTAAGTATTCGCAGGAAAATCGGTGTGATGGTTGGCCATGGACTCGCACGCAGCAGTATCGTTTATTTAAACTTTTATTTCGTAATTCTCTGTTCATCCCGACCCTATCATTTGAGCTGTAAACTTCTGTATAAGTTATTGTTCTGCCGGAAATATGTATGAGTAGGTGTGTACTCATATTTTCTCATGACATCCGATTTATAAATACATGGAGTAACACATGTACACTTACGGCTTTAAAGATAGTATATTGCAAGAGTTCACTACATACATCTGAGACTTTCATGCTTCTATGCGAGAATATGTAGCGTGGACTGTTCTTATATATACACGCGCATATGTGTATGTGTGTCTGGGACATCATTCAATATTTCGGTATGTTTATATTGTAATTATGGATTACTATATGTATATAAACACACACACACACACATACATATATATATATATATATAATACATATATAATATTGTAGTATATATATATATATATAATACATATACATATATATACATATACATATACATATACATATACATATACATATACATATACATATACATATACATATACATATACATATACATATACATATACATATACATATACATATACATATACATATACATATACATATACATATATAAATTTAGTAATATATATATATATATATGTGTGTGTGTGTGTGTGTGTGTGTGTGTGTACGTGCGTGTGTTCACGTGTGTATATGTGCATGTATATATGCAGCGTATACAATTGCATCTATGGAGAATGTCTAGATATCATTCTAAATTATGGGTTTCCGTTCGCAGGCGAAGGAAGAATTCGTACTTGAGTGTGGGAAGTGAGGATGTTGATTTGACAGTAGGCTTATTCGGGCCGCAAACAAGTAAACCGATACCACCGCGCAAGATATTAGAAGGTTTGCCGTTGGAAACTGAGGAAACCTCTGGATATGTCGCTAAGTTGAAGTTAGATACCCAGACAGAGTTCGAGGAACCCTTTGTAGAGCTGACTGAAGCCGATATATTTGGGCTGTTACAGCCAACGACTGTACCGAATCATAGGCCTCTGCCAGAAACAGAGGCAGTCAATCGGAATGGTAAATCCAATGGGAGTGTGGGTGATACTGTCTCGCCCGAACCAAAGCCTGCAGTTGCGACAACTGACTACGCTCCACCAGACATCATGCAAATGATTGAATCTGACCTATTTGGCACAGAGGAATCTGCACAGCCTAACAAGCAATCACCACAATCTGAGTTTAGAAATAGAACGAAGACGGATATAGCACACGTGGATGTGAGCATGACCACCAGCCCACGTGCGTCACCAGTTAAGGCCAGTGGCAGCTCTCAGAGAGCCACCCATGCTGTAACCGACTCAGCTCATGCACCAATGCCAACCACCAGCTCCAAATTCTATAGTCCCAGTTCGGAAGGCAGTGGCGAAGACGACTCGGACGACGAATCTGCTCCAGCTCAGGTAGAGTGTGTGTCACCGAGTACTCGTGTTGTCTGCTGTAGTCGTACGCCCTACTTAATAGAGATGATTTGGCATACACTACGGGTCGATCTATCTACATGCGTGGTCACGATGTTGAAAATACGTTTTAGAGGCTTGGCAAGCACATTACAGAGTACGTATGTTGTTACATGTGGTATTCACGATATCACATTCTTCACAGTAATACGCCAGGACATTAATTTATGGTTACCACATACGTATATTTTGACGATGCGTGGTGTCGCAGAGCTTTCTATAAGTAAACATCTCTTTATACACAATTTTATGAACATGACTGAATACTACATCACAAACACGCACACATATGTATAGTTGCATGCGCTTATAACAGTTTGGAATTGTTGAGTAGGATCCTTCGTATTGATATCTTCGAGACACTTAGCTGTATCTGAGCGTTGCTCTTTGGAACATGATCGCTGTGTGACGGTCTATGTACGGCGGTGCCGTGTGCTCTTCCTTACGTATGGAGTTTTTTAAAATCTCGGTATCTCGTGAAGCTCTGTATTTTGTTGACAGGTGTGGAGTGTCTGTCCCTCCGCCGATGTTGTTGTGTCGCTGTAATACTTGTTTACAGTTTACTCCGTCACATTTATCGAAACTAATAATCTCAAAGAATATTTCGTATTATGACATAGCTCATGCACACACAATCCGCAATATTCGTTTGCTGGTGTTGGGTGATCGTTCTCGAGTCTCTAATGATTAACACTCACACTTGCACTCATTCATTTCGGACTGAAGGTTGCTATTCCAAGTCAGTGTTTGTATTCACCTGTGCCTGCGCATATAGTTGATTGTTGTATCTCCTTTAAGAATTACCTATACCTATGTATACAGTGGTACAAATTAAGTCATATGAATTCATTTGTCCTTTAATGAAATTAAGAGTCATATGAATTCATCTTTTCTTTAATGCAATGTCGTGCACGAATGTACAGCACACCGTACCGCCAATTGAAGAATTGACCATGGCAAACCTGGGGTCCCCATACCATGCAACCCCATACCATGTGCCCATGCAGTCTATCAATAGAGCGTGCGAATCCAGTCACACGAATGGGATGGAGGGTATTGCAGCAACCGCTGTACCCGCAAAGGACACGTTGCCCAGTGTGGCAGTCACATCAAAGCCTCCGAAACTAGTGAGGATCCCAAAGAAACCAGCGCCACCCCGGCTAAGGTGTGGAAGTAAATAATCAGTAGATGTTTATGTACATATGATAAGATCATTTATATATATAGGTCAGTTTACTCAACTATATGTATATGAGCTCGTGTTGGTGTAGCACGGTAGCATTCGCTCGCATACACATCAATACAACTCTATCTGCACGCATACGTTGGTAATGTTTTATTCCTATTAACGTACTGTATTGCATCGCCTCTATTGCATTGCACTGACGCACAGTGCGTTGGACATGCTGCTCAGCAGTGCCCCTAAAGTCAAGAGTGCCCTTGCGAGCGCAATGGTGAAGGGGTTGTTGGATACATTGGCCGATAGTGATAACCATAGCGATGGCGCTGATGATGCGAATACCAAACAGACATCACACAGTACTTTTGCAGGCATCCACCATGAAGACACTTTTAGTAACAGCCACAAAGTGAAGACCGAGGCACTTCCTGTTGTAGGACAAGTCTTCAGCGATTTGATCCCGGATGTGGGCGGCGACGCCTTTCCAAAAGAGTCCAATCAGAACGCCAGAAATGGTAAATCTCAATTGACTGAACGCGAGATAGTGGAAGAGGCTTCGATTGGTATCAAGTCGGAACCTGTGCAACAACCGGTTCACAAAAGCCCCAGTGCTCACGAGAACAGAAGCTTAGACACGGATGGCAAACAGGTTGTGGAAGGTTTGACACCCTCATCTATCCACAATGAATCTACCACTCAACCGAAAGGTGAACTCACACATCACTCACTAAATACTTCCACACCTATGTTCACGACATACAATGCAACCACAAGTACAAACACAAAAGCGGCTAAACCCATAAGTACAAGCACAAGCACACAAGTAGACAGTACCACACCTGGACCCGCGGACATGGCTACAGCTATCGATGAGACATCGCCTGACACATCTCCCGCACTTTCAACGACACACCCAACGGAAGGGGCGGTGCGTAATGATGGCGCACCGAAGATCGGGTTGTTTGTTGACACTGGTATGTGTTAGATATTGATACATTGCACTTGACTGGATTGAATGGCGTTCTGTTATGCAGCAACCCCAAGTGTAAGCCTAACGGAATAGTGTGCATTCAACATGTACAGGTCGGTGTATGCAACTTCTCTGTGAGACTATCACGAATTCTATTTTGTATGTTTTATCATTATTCCATTCTCGAACAATTCGAGCAAGAATGAAGTAACTAATAAGCATGTTCACCACCACGGTTGATACTGATACAGTGCCAATGGTGAGGGCTATCGACCAATCAAGACAGCCAAATAGGTGCTCAGGGTCATTTGGAAGCGAAGGAAGTGAACCAACCGGACTTGTGTATCCCCCTGGAAGTGGACTTTGCGCTGAGAGCTTACGCGCTATTGGGGTTGAAACCCCTTGCCAATTGGTTATAAATAGAATAGTTCGATTTCAGGAACTCAGAGTAGAAGATCGAGTTTGCTCTTTTGTTTTATCTAGAATGAGGTATGGCATGGATATTGGGTAGTCATGGCATTGTGATTTGTGAGGGCATGTATATATATTATCGACACAACATCACATATGTGAATGTCCTTAAAGAGTGTCTCAATACAATGAAATCTCGGCGTCTACGGAAGAAATATTTTAACACCCAATCACTACATTTAGGTGCATGTTTTCGTATGCAGTGATGTAGATTTGCGTGAAAGCAAGAGTGTTCGTAAATTGTTGGCTACGTACTTGCAGTATCGATCCGTGAATTACCAAGCCAGTCACATTTTCATTCTTATCAAAGATCGGATACGGTTAATATAAGTGCATCATTGATCAGTTTCATATGATTTATAAGTTTTTTATGTTGGTCCTATATCTAAGCTTTCCGACTTGTATTTGTTGTTGATTGAATTTTAGTCACATTTTTGACATGACGATTTTGCAATTCATTCGTCTCCAGCAAGGCCTCGCGTGAGAGCAAACGAGATGCTGTGAGGTTGTACAATGAAGCAATCGAACATATGGTCGACAACACTAAACGAATGGGCGGTGGATCGTGTGTATCGCATCTGCCCTTGAAGATCTCGGCCAAAGGTATGCATTGAGGTAGCAAGAACACCACTCTATTTGAACAGGCAGGCAGGTTCTTATATCAGATCTGTCGTGCATGAATTTCCTGCTGTCTCAATTTCGTGAAAGATTTTTATGACAAATAAGTTGTTGTGCAGTTCCTGAACTACCGATTAGACGCATCAAAGCCCAATATTGCAGCATTAGCAATAATATGAATTTGGATATAATACTATATACCAACAGAAATACACATATACGCGACAAACACATGTATACGTGTCCGTGCAAACATCTACACATTCACAAGTGAACATGCATACACGCCTCCGCGATGAATTTAATAGTGCTTTTTGGCCATACGGACCACAGCAGTAAACATTTCTAATCCTACTGAGAAACGGCACAGAATACTAGACTTCTTCATCCAGGCATATCTCCCAATGTCTAGTGTTCCTATGAATCCTCAATTAGGCTCGACTGATGTCTATTAATCAAGTACACTAATCATGGCATGAATTCACAACGGTAGTGCAGTGTTCTAGGTTGAATATACATCCCGATTTAGCGGAATGTGGTAAATTTATTGCCTCTCACTCCCTCACTCTCTCACTCACTGAGTTTTGCTCGATACAACTTTATACCTATAAGTTCCATTCATTCGTACAAGACATAGAAAGAAAGGTTGCATTCACTCATGTTGCTATAGATGACCTGTGTCATCTTGCTATGCGGTCTCAGTCTAGCGAACACACCGCTCACACTGCTGAATTAATGTATTCAACCCGTTTTTGAGGACTCCAAGGCTACGACAAACATATATATACACGCTCGATCGCGCATACATGCATGCACACATGGAGTAATTCTCAAACGTAAACACACAGATGTGGATCAGCTGCATCCGCGTTGCGCCACCAGCCGGCCACAGCGCACCGACCGCCGAGAAGACGCCGATGTGCTGAGTCAGCTGTACACGAAGCGCGCCATCTGTTTGGACGCGCTGAAATATCATATCAAAGCCGAGGCCGACTGTGTGGAAGCTTTAATATGTGACTCGGAAAACCTGGAGTGTATGCTGGCATACGCTAGAATGCAGGTGTATTTGCGGGGACGTGTATACGTGTATAGTACGTGGGCATGTATAGGCTTGTGCCCATTTTATACACTGGTGTTTGCATACGTGTATCGCATGCTCTCTATTTTTTTGTGATCTATGTATGCACACTGTGGGTATTGATGAATACACAGGGTGTGTTTGTGGGATACAGCCCTGCAGTGTGATATCAATAAGATGGGCCTAACAACTTTATTAGCTAGTTCTATATACATACGAAAATGTCCAGAATTAGTACATACACACATGTACATATATATATATATATATATATATATATATGTGTGTGTGTGTGTGTGTGTGTGTGTGTGTGTGTATGATATATATATATATATATATGTATATATATATATATATATATATATGTGTGTGTGTGTGTGTGTGTGTATGTGTGTATGTGTGTATGTATGTGTGTGCGTATATTATATATTTATACATGTATATATAGATATACGAATGTTTGTGTGTGTATAGGACTGCACGTCAATAACATTTATGTCTATTCACCTTGAACTATGCAATTGTGTATGCCCAGGTATGCGTTTGCGTACATGTAATGCAGGTGCCCACGCATGTTCTTGTCACTCACAAAAGCTGAACTTCTCTACTGTAATATACTGTTGTCATATCGACCTATTGTGTTTTGAATTAGCTAGATCTTACAGATGTAAATCAAATTGGGTTTTGCATTTAGTTCAACGGGAGTTTAGGTCCCGTATGTACAATGCATACATATTATGGGGTGTGTCTCAAGTTGGTTGTGTGAATACATTTATCACGTATTTCAGATCGTAGCATAACGATATTGGTCGTTTTTGGCATGTATGAAATTATTGCAGATGAACCGGGGCGTGATCTCGCAGGTGGATCTTTCTCTATCAAGAGTGCAGGATGTGCTTGACAAGCAGACTGCACCGTCGCATGAGCACTCGTTCTCGGATGAACTACACACATTGACAGCTATTGTTGACAAGCTCAAGGCGATGTATCTCATTATTAAAGCTCAGTACGAGCCTAATCTTGAAGGTATATGTAATGTGTTGTTATGGATGTTTTCATAGGTGTGTGCAATGCAGTATTCTTGTATATCGCAATTGAGAATGGGATGTGCTTACCGCATTCACGGAGTGCTTGCTTTAGGGACATTCCACTGTTTGTAGTCTGTGTATACGTGGGATTTCGGAGCTGTAATGGATGTACGTGTACATATTGTGTGTATAAAGCTCAGTACATTTAATTGTTAGTTTCTGTGTATCGTTTACGACTATGTGCACGACAAGTGTACCAGTTAAATCAATCATCCAATGTAAATGGTCGCAAATCGTTTTTTAGATAGTCACAATCTCGCATAGTAAAGTCGTGAACGCTAATTGAGGAATCTTATAGGCTTGAGTAGAATAATAGTTTTAGTTGATTCCAGCTGTATTTGCAAACACGGTCGCCCATATATATAGACTTTGGATCTAACCTATCGCCTCTGTGTGCATTCCGTATTCTGACCCTTCCAAGCACAGTATGTTCAAATGGGACATGACTCTTGTTCCCTGACTTCTGGTGATTAGACATCGATCTACATCCTATGGGCAATTTCTGTATTGACACGCTAAACGCGAATTGTTATTCACATTGGCATTTATTTCCAATCATATGCACACTTAACGCAGATCGCTATACTCGCTTCTCACTAACTGCATACCTGGATGATATGTCATGTCCACGCTAATTTTCCTCATTTGGGACATTGAACTGGCATTCGATATTTTTCTTATGTCTTTATGTCAGGCTTTTGAGACTGTCTTCCGCAGCTGACAATTTTTTCTTTGGCCACAGACTTTTGTGATCACCTTGAAGCACTGGTGTTCGCGTAGTAATATTGCTTTCGGGATGTACATCACTGGTTTTTGCGTATCAATGTTACTTCTGGAATGTTTATCACTTATTTTCATGTATGGCTTCACGTACACGTATATGACCTCTGCAGGCCATGACCCAGACTCCGCTGAAAGCAGCACACAATACAGTGCAACATTAGTACGGGCCATCAAGATGCTGCAGAGCAGATGTCCCCGATCGGTCAATTGTCAGGTAAGGGGGGTGCGTGTCAATTTTTGTGTGTATTCGTATGTATAAATGGATGATTTGTATGTGTATATGTATGTATGTATTTGTCCACATGCTGGAAGCGATGTAAATCATACGTTTATGTTTGTGTACCGTTGCTTGGTGTTTGCTAGGGCTGAGTGTGGTGCTACACGCAAACGGTATATTGCTCACTACGTCTTACACACATTAGCACGATTTGTCTGCAAACTGCCCGCCCACCACCGAAGTCAACCTGACATTTATTATTACTTGTAAGAGACCAAGTGGTTAGGAATAGCTCATGACCAGTGAACACCTGTGAATTGAAGACTATCCCACAGTTGCTTACTTTGACAAGGCACTATCAAATCTGCAGGTTTCAAAAAGTCATTAAACCTGTAATGATTCTATACTATTATCTGACACTAACTCTTTAGAGATCTGATACTTAGTTGGTACTCGTAAGTGATATGATATCTAGTATAATACGGATGCTATTGTTGACACTGAGTTCGAATCGCTGACACTAACTCGGTACGAATCTGGATACTGTGGCGGTATTCTTTGACTCTGATTAGTTACCGATCTGACAAACATGTGATACCTTGGCTGACGGATTTGGACTACTGATGTTGTATAATATTGATACCAATTTAGAGCAATCGCAACCGCATGTTAGAGAGTTCTATGATATCGTCGAATTAGCTGATAGTATATTCTACAAGTTGGCTGCGCTGTGATAGTATGTGGAATTTTCTAGCATTAAGTTATGAAGATGTAAACTATAGATAATGAGCTTGTGTGTCAATGATACTGTTTCACCACACACTCGAACTCATCCTGACACTTGCATGGCATTTAATATTCTATCGAAGCCCTCACGACGCTGAAGATTCATGCCATTTTGATGTGTTCGGAAATACTCATCCCATTATATCTTGTTATCTGATATTTATCCAGAAAATATTTAAACTGTGATACCAATCTGGCACTAATTCCGTGACACATATATCACACTATCTTAACATGTATCCTCCTCCCTCAACCCACAGCTATGGTATGCCCGCTACTTGCGCCTCGGTCTGGGAGACTTAGAGGCCGCGACTACACTGCTCACAGAAGTTTACGAGAGGTGTGTAAAAATGCACATGTTTTCGTAGGCACCTGATAGTTTACATATTCACCTGATAGTTTAAATAGCATCTGATGGTTTACATAGGCATCTTATAGTTTACAGGCACCCGATGGCTTACATAGGCACCTGATAGTTTACATAGCATTTGATGGTTTACATAGGCACCTGATTGTTTACATAGGCACTTGATGGTTTGCATAGGCGTATCATTAGTGTGTACTTTCATGTTGCCAACGTAATATATCGTGTGAAGTTGATAACGCGTATCCTGCCACAGTACGCAATCTCTAGTGGTGTCATAGACTACGAGTATGCTACATCATGTAGATATACGTAACGATTTAAATCTAACGTACACACGCATTTGTACATACATATATACATCAGTATATGCAGTTGAACCTTTATCCATAGATGACCACGTACAAGTACGTGCACTTTAAGTCTCATTTGCATCTATACACATTTCATGACTCACGTGATGCCCTCCTTCTGCCCTTGACACGGGTGTCACAGTGATCCCATGACTGGGAAGATACCTTTGGTCTCTGAGCTGTCGCTGTGTGCGTATGAGAACGCTGACTTCGAGACTGTCATTGTCATTGTGGATGATACAGTGTTACAGGGCACGTCGGACAGTTCTAAGATAGATAAAGCTACCAAAATGGTGAGTTTGCACTCAAGGGCTGAATCTATTGTTGATCTGTTGTGCACATATTTGTATTAGTATCGATGCTTCTGTGGCAGTCAGAAATCATGGAATGCATATTGTATATTCCATCTTTCTTTTTTATTGGGATGTCTGTGTACATATTGGAGTTGAGAGTGCACGGGTAAGTGAGCTTTTGCTTTGATTGAAGATACCTTATCAGTTGGATAAACACGATGTTTAATCTGATGTTTGTTGGTTCTAAAAAAGTCCTTATACTTGCAATTGCATATACATGCACTTGTATGCGGAGAACTTCATGTGTTCGCTCTTTTTCTGCAAGCCAATTGCGATCTTTCATGAGTATACAAAAATTTTGCTGTAGGTATATATGCATATGTACGCGCATGAGCATTGCGTAGTTGCAGGCTTCTTACCGGTATATTATTACAGGACAGATTTGAATTCTAATTGGAGGTAGCTGCATACATATGCACATACCTGTGCTCTCAGGCAATGGAAGTCGTACATCCCAGACATTCTGAATTACTGATAAGGCTTCAATTAGCTTATTGCTACGGGTTACTAACACTTTGCGATGGGTATTCTTTTGCAGACCATCGGACAACTGCGGGTGGGAATGCAACAGCGGCTGCAGAAATCGATAGTCCTGTGTCATCGGTGTGTGTCTTTCAAAGACAAAATTTGTGGATATTATCTTTCCTTGATACGTGACTGTGCTTGTGTCTAAGCATTTGACATTGACTATATTGCAAGTGTAAGTATATCCCCATATATGAGCGAGTAGGTGTATCATGTGTGAGTCTGCGCGTACCTTTGCTCGTGGTTGTAAAGGTTTGTGTGTGTGACACAGAATTAAACTGTGACTAAGGGTTTGAATATAGAATTTTAATCTTGTGTCTTAACACGGCAAATTTGTAGCAAAAGCCAGAATATATCATAATTTAGTCAGGATTTAAAAAAGAACTACGTATCTCACGCTGTACTAGTATTGCTGCTACTCAAAATGATGCGCTGGCCCTGCTTGGGATCTGACTTATTCACTGTGAAAGCCTGCATCAATCCTAACTAGTTCTCTTTGTAGTTGATATCTGTCCTGCGCCTCTTACATTTCTTCCTGTTCGTTTGACAGGCGACGCGAAGGAAAACTGGCATTCAATAGGGGCGACTACGTGGACGCTGCTGAGAACTACACGAAAGCCAGTGAACTGACAGAGCCGGTATGTGCATGGTCCTGCAAGTTATTATGTGTATGTACTCACCTACGATGTGAATCTATGGAGTGTAAGATAGGCAGCAAACTTCCAGTATCTCTGTAACTGTTTGGCAGACTAAATATATTCATAAATTTGATGATTAGGGCGACTGCAGTGGCGCTGCAGCACATTACTCAACTGCCAGTGGCCATTGAGAGTTTTGATTTTAAGGGTTAGATATGACACGCTTATGCTATTGATTATGCTATTGTTAAAGATTACTTAACATGAATTGCATAAATGTACAGATTTCACTTAATCGTATACCTACATTGAGTCTGTATTAGATGTAGTGATTAATATTTTGGATGTACTGGTGTATGATGTATTTGCTCATAAAATTGTATTGATGAATGTATCTATTAAATCTCTGGACATCTATTTACATGCTTTGTACAACTTCCTACCTTCGCTTTCGCAGTATCACCCGACAAATATGGCCATCTGCCTCAACAACAAAGCCATGTGTCTGATGCAACGGGCGAAGATCTTCAAGAAGAGGAGACAGCCCAAGATAGCCCTTACACGACTCAAGGAAGCCATGGCCTGCTGTGATAAGGTGATTTTCTGAATATATCTTTAATCTTTGTAGGTATGATCGCATTTTTGGTGGGTCGCATACGAGTGTGAGGTGTGTTTTTGTGCGTGGAATAATGAGTATCAAATTGTATGGAGAGCATATACGTCCATATACTTCTGCGTACCAGAATAACGTTAGATGTGATTGAGATTTCAGAAGCGTGTGTGAGATTCCATCAGCGCTCTCGCGTAGTACCATAGGTTCGGACTAGTGGCAAGATGATGGTATACACGTGTGCAATTTCTTCAGCTCTGTACGTAAGTGCATACGTAGCGCACGAGTGAACATGTGATGTGAACAATCATAGCGCTTCCACATGCGCATATGTGTTGGGTGTTTTGTCAATGATTCGAGTGCTATCATAGCGTTTACATTTGTTGCTCGATGTCTTTTCCATGTAATTGCCTATTCATAAGCGTTAGTCATCTGCATTATTCACGTGTTACCGCACACGTATTTTATTTATCAACGGGTGCCAAAATTGTTGGAATTTGGATTTCGGAAGTATCAGTAGAATTTGTGCTGGGCCGATTTTGTGCATGTATGAACTAGAATCTGTGCTGTCTCGATGATCGAGCTCGACCCGACAGCAAAATGTGAAAGGGTTTGAAGTGGTGTGGTTTGTGTACCACGTCTATGAGTATTGCTTGCAATCCTGAATTTCAAGGAGAGGAAACTGTTTAGGACATTCTTACATTTTTCATAAGATGCTTTAGAAGAAGAAAAATCTATCACTTAGATTCGACTCGTCGACACAATTTACAGGCACTCGTTTTAAAGTACAACTTCGCCAAAAGCATAATCAGAAAGGCAGGAGTTTATACCCTGCTTGGCGACTTTGCAGATAATTTGACGACACGCATCCGCCAGTACAAGAACGCCAAGGAAGTTTACGAAGGTATTTCAACAGTGGATCACATGTGCTGAAACGTGAATGTATGCACCGATATGTGGCTGTGTATTTGGGTTTATGTGTGTACGCATTTTTCCTCTCGTATGTGTGTGCTGTACGAGACACGCATCAAACAGGCTACATGTATAATTTAGGACTTCTCTGAAATGCAAGGGAAATCCATAAAAAGAATATCATGAAGAATCTATCCTCTTGTATTATAACATATATTAAGAAATTATATCAACGCTGCGTATTTTTTTACGTACATGAACGTATTCAATGAAACGGTGTGGTTTGAAATCCATATCGAACACAGATACTGTGGCAATTCGTGCAATGCTTCAATGTAAATTCGGTAGATATATCAATACCAACTGTTACATGTGTGTATATATATGCATTGCATTAATCAAACTTTCGAAAACCACATGTGTCATGTCATTGACAATTATGGATGCGTGTCAAATTTGTTGGGAGTGCACCTTGGCTGTATTGTGTAGTCTGCGTAGGAGCTTGTACTACGCCTTTCATTCTCATTATGGTAGTCGATATCTGACTGGGGTCATGCTCTATATACATAATAGTAATTTATAAAATAGTTAACCAACCGTTCGAGTATGCATTTTGCAGACAACTAAGTATATAACATTTATTTAATGTATATACATCTTTAAGTACGCGCATGTCCATACATATACCTGTACAATATGTAGTTTCATTTGCGACTTTTTGTGCGTATATTTATGTGGAAAAAAATTATGTGAATCGATCCGAGATACAACTGTATGACATACTGTTCATATTCAGCTATTCAATTACGTTCGTGGATATATCACATCGTTGTGCTTTCTGTGGATCTTGAATGTTCTGTTGGTTTTACGAAGGGGCGGAGTCATTCGGTGAATAGGTAGTGTGACCAATGTGTGTTCTGCCTGTGTTGAGGGCTCTCACACGTTCGTGCGATGTGGCTGATTACAATGCATTCGTGTGTTGTTCTTTTTGGTCATAATTTTGAGTACACAGATGTGCTACCGATGCAGCCGAACAATCAGGAAATACGGGAGAGGTTTTTGCTTCTGGAGGAGAAGTTGAAAAAAGCCAACTCTGAGAAGCGCATTCAAGACGAGGTATGCGAGTAAAATCTCCCGATGGCGAATAAGCAATCTGTGCATGTGATGATAATTCAATTAGAATGTTCCATATGTATGCTCAAATTTAGTTAAAGTCTCTTAAAGCATTTCACACCCGATGCTGAGGTGCCGCGACGTCTTCCGGCGGTTATGAAATCGCGCTGGAATCGTTCGACCCTATTGTAGACCTCAGAATGCTATCGTGTTCTTTCCCATTTTTTGTCACACTTCCATCAGAAGTCTTGTTTTGCATCAATATTAGATAGTAATGTTGCACTACTTTGTCGATCGGATCCCGATCATCATGACGTTTCTCAAATACTGTATTCAGCCGATAGTACCTAAAGAAGCAGAAATACGGGATATTATATACATTCTGCATAGATTATTAGAATGTGCTTCCATACTATCTCAAGCACGACCGGTCCATGTTGGACATTCATGACCGACCACCTCTCGAGCAACCATTGGGAGAATATGGCTATTTTCGACTATAGCACGTACACATGTCATCTGTGTATGAGAGAGAATTCGTATACTTGACCGTCAGTATATAGGATACACAGTCCACTCACTGGTGTTTGTTGTGTATGCGTTCGTTTCATTTTTGGTAATTAGGGGTATTGACGCTATCGCTTCTAGAAGTGCGTGTTTTTTTTTTCCATACTACGAGTATTTATTATTAATTTTGTGTAGCCATGGGCTACTGTGATTCAAAGTATTGGTGTTGGGCGAGCCCTTGCTCAGAACCTTTAATGACTATCTTATAGTTATATCGCAACGATCACTTCAATGGCTCCTTATTCTGCTCTTAGATACAGCTTGTTTGACAGTCAGATCAAATCTTAGCTCATCGAGTGCGCTCTTTCACTTGCAAAGCCGGATGTCTTTTGGGACACCTTCTCTTAACCCTCCAGAGTTCTCTCTCTAGTAGTAGATTATCCTTCTCAAGTGAATATTTTGAATTCGACCTCATAGCAAAGTGGCGTTATTCTCACTTTCGGGACGCGCATACTCTACTCACAGCAGAAAAAAACAAGTTCGGTTGGTGTTTTATCCGTGTATATTACCATATATGTATCTAGCACGATATCGCTATTTGGTGTCTCCTCGGGCTTTTAAGAGCAAAAACAATCTTCGAGCTCTATACCAACAGAGCCAAAATCAAGTGGTTGGAAACACGAGCATCCATTTCATTTCTCCACATGGACCGATTTGCTACCCAGATTTTCTTTCATCCCTTTTTTTGCACATGCGTTGATTTGCTACCCAGATTTTCTTGTTGTGTTTATTATCGTGAATGTGCTGTGTGTTAATCAATACTTGTTTATTTTCAGTATCTTCGTACCATCTGTCACTTCTCTATCCAAGAGGTAGGGCAGAGGATTGAGCAGTAGTCAATCCCACTCTACATCACCTTGTCTTTCACTATATTGTGCTGAATAACAATGAATGGTATCCATGTAATAATGCACCTTCTCAGCGGAGCAAGCGCGAGCAAGAAATAGAGGAAGAAAGGATCAGGGATGAGCTACACAGGGCCGAGGCCGCTCGAGGTCAACGCAAATCAAGCAGGAAGAAGCTTGATGGGGTGTGTTTTGTCTGCTGTGACGCGTGTTTGCGCACATGCCTGATGTCAGACCTATCGTGATCCGGTGCACTCACGTGTGATGTGCCCATGGATGCTTTTTTGTGACGTCCTTGTGGTCATATGAGACCTTTGCCCTCAATTCATATATCTAGATCTGCGGATCGCAATGTAATAATTATAGATTACCAATATATGCTCTTGTGTGTTTCGATGTAAGGCGCCTATGCGTTGATGATGTCTGTTATTTTTGATATACAGATGGCATAATCAATTCAATGATTATGGATTATTATTTTTCAGTCGGAATCTTTGGTTGGAATTTTCGATTAAACAATCGTGAAAATCCTTGTGCACATATATATATATCCACTCTACCAGTCAACAAATGTCTACATTACTAGTACACTAGGAAAAGTGACAGAATATACATGCAGATGTTTTTGAAATTGTGCATATTTATAGTATATCGAACATTCACACGTCTGATAGTTGCTACGAGTTGCATGTTAATCATTAGCCCCATGCAACGTTGGTGTCAAAGGCACACATTACACAGTCTTTGTACGAGGTGCTCAACGTACCACCTACTGCAACTACTGAGGACATCAAGAAAGCATACAAAACTCTCGCCAGGACGCATCACCCCGATAAGAATGAGGATGGCAACCCCGAACGATTCCAGGAGATAGTAGGGGTATGTTCTTCATTGTATGTGCGATTGCACTTTCCAACTGCATGTAAATGTGTGTATGCCGACCTCTTCTCTTTCTTATATTTATATTACCAATTAACAGGCACACGCTACACTAGCTGATCCATCGAAGAGGAAGGAATATGATCATTCACTGATAGGCACTGGTCTGAACAAGCGCAGCGGTATAAGTCGACAATTTGGTAGTAAACGTTAAGACTATACTTGCACATCAAATAATAAAGTGGATGAAAATTCTACCTCGTACGTTGCTGATGCTACTATATTCTGCCAAACACTCTCGTCGCACTGGAAGCATCTTATGGTAAATTGGGGAACAATACGTCCAGAATGTGACAGCAACACGCTCAAAATGCGACATATTAGAGAACCAAAATATAAACTATGTAAAACAACTTGATTCCGATTCCTACCTTATCGTTTTAAGGTCATGGGTGGTACTTTCCTGAAGAATTCTGCGATGGTTTGATATTTCAAATAACCAAAAACCCATCTCGAAGAAGTGGAGTATGGATGCACGTGTGTACACAACATATATCTCTCAACCTCACACCAACTATAAACCCAGACCATTTCATACCAAAAAAAAAAATTATATTCTAAATCTTTTGATACAGGTTGTTACCTTTTGTTTCCACCCGCCCAGAAACTTCCTGCCGTCGTCACACTACAATAGTTCCAATTACTTAGATTTATTAGCAAAATTTACTTTAAAAATTCCGACAGGCACGGGGAACAGCGTTGATTTTAACTAGTGTCCGAGTTCGACACTGCCCTTCGGAGGAAACATATACACAGGGGTATCGAGCTTTGAGTATAGGTATGCCGTGTTAACATCGGAATGATGGGCGGTACGATTCTGATAGGTAGCGGTAGCTAAAATAATGCAGAGCGTGGTGGAAGATGCTGCTGGGGCATATGTGTTCCAAAATGAGTCCCCATGCTGTTGCTCATCATCGCGTGCCACCATGCGCGCTTTGTGGATGGTGAGCTCGCCATTTTCATCGTGCTTCCTCGTAAATACATACTTGGAGTGTATGATTTTAGCAGTGCGCGGAACATCGGTGATGGGAATGCTGTCGGCAAGCTTGCTGCGGGCATGGGCCGCACGCTCACGGTCTACAGCCTGGGACCACTGTGGCCATTCAGTTGATGATTGAGCTTTGAAGATGCTCTTTGGGATAATGTCGTCTATGAGGGCGACGGCGTCAGTGAGGGAGAATTCAGGGATGTTGGGGTGCAGTGAAAATGGTGTTAACACGTTTGATTAAATCATCAACTTTAGCATCAAGTGGGTTGACGGCGGGGAGAGCGAGTTTGTTCACACGAGCGGGCCGAATGTGACTCATGGTTTTCTATTCCTCTACATAAAGGCAGAGGTCCTGGATGGTGATACCTCGGCGTGAAGTAGTCGAACGGCCAGGGAGGTTGAGAGACTACAGTAGAAGACGTATTTATATATACGTTAATAACGTTTTACGTCGTCAGCCCGAGAGTAATTTGGGACTTGTTCTCAAATTAATATAAGTATAGGTGGGTCAGCCCGAGAGAACGTAAGAGTAATTTGAGACTTTTTCTCAGATTATTCTATTTATAGGATACGGGCCACCGGCTAGCCGAGAGCCGAGGTCCGAGACTGTAGAAACAGAGAATATGATATATTTATTTCTGGAAAATATATCCAAGTGCTAAAGTGTTCTGCATAAGATTTCTCATACTGATCATATGAGTTTCTACCCTGGCCAACCCAAGTGGTTGAACACTAGTACTAGTACAAACACCATCACTGAGATCATAAATAAATTCATTCGATTGCACCATACTTTAAATACACTAACACTTTACTTATAGTCCCCTACACCGCACGCTAACAGATATAACCCTTATTGGTAGACTCTTTGTCGGCAGTAGAAGGCATAGAAGTGGTGGGTGGGTTGGTGATGACAGGGTCGTGTGTCAGGGGGTAGGCCTCGGGTCGTGGGACTGCGCTGTGGTCGGAAGGGTAGGCGAGCAACAGGGTAGTCGAAGGGGGGGGGGGGGGGATCGTCAGGAATGGCGTATCCTTAGTCGAGTGGGGTGAGTAGGAGTGGGGCTTCAGCCTAAATCTGTAAAACAGAGTCGTTGTCCGGTATATTTTCGCCCATAACCTATTGAGACCTAGAAACTTCTGTACATGATTAACTAATGATTATTAAAGAATAGTATCGAATAGTTGTACTATGATAAACTGTGGTGAAATTGTGGGACCAATTATTCCCGCATGGGGATATTGGTTCAGCGTGTGGGTCCCAGGAAAAACCTGGTTTGGTTTAAAGGAGTAAGATTCGGTCTATCAAGGCGATACTAACGCCTTAGAGTAATTAAACGCGTAGGTAAAATCTAAGTATCGTGAAATTCAAAGTAAATAGACGAAATGAGACTTTTAGTAAAGTTAGGTATGCCTCGCGAATACAGCAATACTCTGAGGGATTGTGAAGCTGAGACATTGCCTATATGTAATCCTCTCAGTACCGTTTTCGCCGAAGGGATTTTATTAGTGTTTCGTTGTCGCTCTATTAGAAACTAGGGTATGTTTCGTTAGGGCGAATCCGTGAGACTCATAAAATCCTATCTTTAGAACAGAATAAATAATACTCTTGATGTCCTTAGTTATTGCATTATCCAATAACTTGCCACTTATCAAGAATTACCGACTTAGCCTTCATCAGACTGGCACATCTGGTTGGATGAACGAAGGATAAACTAGGTAATGTTAATAGTCCCTAGAAACCTACATTCGGTTGAGTCATCTCGCTACCGAAGTATTCAGATACAAATAAATTTGGAAAGTAAATATAGTTCTATTAATAGAACTAGACCAACTCTTATGTTTGGTGTTTTACTGGGGCCTTTTTAATGGCCTCGTCCAAATATCTGATATGTAAAATGGAAAAGGTATTGATTAATAAAACCGTTAAAATCCATTTAGGAAACTTAAGCTCCTCGTACTACTAAGAGTACGTTTATAGTTTACGTACTGCTTAAGAGTACGTTTATAACATAAAGTCTAATATGGAGGCCCGGCTATTACAAAGGAAAGGGGAAGGTTAACCTGTCCCGAATATATATATATATATATATATATATATATATATATATATATATATATATATATAACGCTTGGGGCTTATTTCCTCTGCCACAATATTAGTAAGTTGGCTGTCCTGATGACAAACCACAAGTTAGTATAATTGACTGTACAACCCAGCTCAGATATTACAAATTCTATATCAGAAAAAGTTGTGGTCTCAAAATTGACACCATGTACCACACAGGTGGGGTCTCAAACTTTGATGCTACAAATGTTGGTGCCAGCACTAAGGTTTTCTTATTCTTTTCCTCTATAACCCAAACTACACCACTTGTTTACAAAATCCTTCTCAACGGAAACTACAGTATCTGTCTACAAAACCTTATCAACAAAAACCCATGAACGATTTCCAACTAAGTCTCGACTCCCGAGTCCAGGTTTTCAATACACCTCCATGGACGGAAGACTTGGCCATTCACGATTCTCTATATAACTCACCCATCGACTAAGTGAAGCGGCAATTGGATGTAGACGACTGTATAGTTGTAACAGTGGTGTTTCAACATGTGATTACGATGCCTCTTAAAAGCAATCCGTGCTAGTGCCCTCGTCAATACATCAATAACCCTCAGTCCAGATCGGCAATCCTCCAGTACAATGGTCTTCGCTGTACTCATATCCATATGCTTACCACGCTTGGTGATCAGTTCTTCTGTTATCTTCTTAGTAGTCTGATTGTCTTCACAACACACCATCGGTTGGTTGTTAGTCCAGCCTAGCTCAAAATAGTAATTTCAAAGCAGTATTCATATCACGGCAGGATTCTGCGAGACTGACATATTTTATAGAGGGAATTCACTATTCATTACGCACCCTAGCTCATATAGTAATTTCAAAGCAGTATTGATATCACGGCAGGATTCTGCGAGACTGACATATTTTATAAAGGGAATTCACTATTCACTACCCCGTGCGTGCGTAGATTTCACTAATTACTACCTATACCATTACGGCAGTACGTTTTCATGACGCTCACGCGGTGATTTCAGTAGATATATCCTCAAACCCTACCATATTTGTTAGAGGTAGTGGCTAGTAAAATGATATTTGATTTGGGGTAGTATTAAGTGGATTTTGAGGGGTGGGTTGAATAAGCTTGTGATAGAGTTCATATACAAGTTATTCACATGCGAAATATTTTCCTTCTTTATGCCGTAGTGTTAATGTACATTGCAATTACTTTCCGGCGACGAGTATGCACTGATGAGAGCGGTCACTTTATGATTTGCCAAGTATTTACGGAGTACTGACGATGTACAAGTCTTGGCAGTGTGATACTTTGCAGAGCAGATTTTACATATTCGTGGTTTTTTGGTGTGCATGTATCTACGTCGACTCCTGGCACGTCGACCTTTTTTTACGTCCTCGTTGACCAAGATTGTTTGGAGGATACATCTGACATAATTTTCTCTCGACATCAAGTTCATTTGGAATTTGAAGAGGCTCCGAATACTGCTTCACGTATGTCTTGACATGGAATACAGGGCATAACCTGGAATATTTAAAAAACATAGTGAAAACATAATGGAATTCGTATAGCTGTGAGCTAGCATTGAGTTATTAAGTATCGGCGTGCAAACTTACATACATTGGATCGGGTACTATTATATATATATATATACATATATATATATATATATATATATATATATATATATATAGTTGATGTCACTTGAAACTTACAATACAGCTTTCCGCATTCGCTCGGCGTAGGCATACACCGCATTTATAAAATCATCTTCATCCCTGAACGTCTCGATGCTCTACACTGTTCCGAGGTAAATAGCGAAAGTCGGGAATATCCACACAGCACCCATCTCGAAGAATCCTAGAAGATAGTGTGAGGCGAAATATAATTCAACCGCAGGGTATGGATATCATACAAGTCAAATTGATCTAGGCCAATCACATTTTCTCAAATACTCAGAACACAACTTAACAGGACTTGATGTGTAAAATTTTATACGCATAACAAAATAATCAATCGACTTACATAATTAACAACAAAATGAATTAACAACAAATGAATCAACACACCTTTTACATTCTTCCCTGTATTTGTCTGCTCGTGATATAAATTTCTCTGAAACTTCCAGGACTC